TTTTATCGACCTTTTTTTCGTCGTACGCAATGTTTTTTTGGTGTGTTGAAACTGCATATCTTCTTTTTTTGTTAAAAGAACAATGATTCCATACCTTTAAACACCTGTATAGCCATTTTTACTTGATAATAATAGAAGATAAGGGGTTTTCAAATTTTTATTCATCATATATAGTTCAAGATATGTTATAACAAGTTACAATAACAGAACAATATAAAATTTCAAACAATAGTCACTATGTTGAATGTTTCTTATAATGTTTATACTAAAGCACTAAATTTAAAAGTTATTTGAAACAACAGTTAAAGCAAACTATTTAAATGTCACAAGAGAACATGATTTTAACTAAAAATATAAAGCACAGTTTTTACATTAGCAAGAGCACTAATCATTGTTAAACATGAGTTCAAACACAATTTAAGAAAGAGACTGTTTGTATAAGGCACAAGCTGACTTTGCTGCTTTGACTAGTTCAGGTTCTGGTTTATACTGGTGACAGTCTGTTGGGTTGTTGATCTTTACACTAAGTAGACTGTGGATGGTCTTATCAGCTAGGTTGTCTCTGGGGTCAGACTGGATCTTCTTTAGCATTGAAAAAGTTCTTTCTGTGTCAGCATTGGAGTGTGGCAGGGCTAGTACAACTTTGCTGAGTGCAAACAGGTGCTGAAACTGTTGTTTACCACTTGGTAGCTTTAGGTTGCCAATAGAGGTCCAGAACTGGTTGAGTGAAGGTGTATCTTGATCAAATGCTGGCAAATCACACAGAGGAGTAAGAATATACTCAGCAGCTTCATCTTCTAGTTGACTGGTTTCTTGCTGATTATAGTTCAGGAACCTATCAGACAAGCTGATAACTGAAAAAGAAAAAAAATAATAAGTACTAAGTTTAAACAGTTCAATGATCAATCATAATTCAAACAATAAATGTTGTGCTATGTAATATTATATCTTCTCTATAAGCTATAGGCAGTTCAGTATCATTGGCATATACCCCACAACTGATCAATTTTATGTAAATTATTATACTGCTATGACTCATGACACAATATTATGTTATTCTGTTTGTAACAAGCACTCACTTTCATCTTTTGGACAGTGTTGACTTACTAGACTAACAAAAAACTCACCTTCATCTGGAGATAACTTGTTTTTGCTGAGTGGATTCAGAAAACTGATGCCTCGGAGAACCTTGTCTTGGAATGGGAACTTCTTTATCATGGTTTCAGTCATAGTGCAGTAGAACTCCCTGACTGTACTGAAATAGAAATAAAACATTTATTAAAATGTACAAAACTTGATATACACCTTAAGCAAGTATACTCTGTGTGAATTGAAATGGAAAGTAATGAACAATTACATCTGATGGGATTATTTTCTCTTCAAAATATTTCATGTATTGCATGTATTCTCTGTGGACTATCTCAAGAACATATACCCTAGATTATTTTTTCTTTGTTAAAACATAATAAACATACCTGAAGAAGTTGTTGACTGTCTGTGGTGGTAGGTCATCATTGTCACTAAGGAACTCTCTGACTTTCATACCAACTGCAATTCTGGTGTTGTCGTGTTGGTTGTCTGTACACCTGAAGTCTACCTTTGTGATGTCTGACTGTGCTGTGATGGTACTTGTAGTGACAAATTTACCCATCATCTTGCGAAGAAGTCGCACCATTTCTGTGTGTAAGTAACCAATCATGGACTCACCAGCCTACAAATTAAAATATTTATTAATATCAATTGACAAAAAGGAAACATTCACAATTTAGAATAGTTTATATATATTGAAATATTGTATAGACATCTGTAAACTGTTGAAGACTGTATGTTGACATATATTTGTCTTTGGGTTGCTGTCTCATTGAATTATACCTCACATCTAAAAAATGTTAAAATTATGCCTTAAAATAGGTACAATATACATATTATCAAAATAAAATACCTGAAACATCACATTGAAGTCATTCAGGATAGGCATGACAAACTCCAGGAAGGCAAAATACAACCACATCTGGTCACTGGTGAAGTACTGCATACATCTGTTGATACGACCTGGCTTCTCACACTCTGCATGGCTCTGAAAGTAACTCTTAAAAGCTGGCCACTGCTGTAGGGTACGCTGAACACACCTCTCTAAAGACAACCACCTGGTACTGCAGTGCTTGATGATCTTCATTGGGTCAGTCTCTGTGAACTCTTGGAACTGCTTGTAATTCTCTCTTCTGGTGGAACTGAAAAATAAAATTCAAAAATAAAGAATTATGAATAACATTGTGTTAGTTTTATATTTGATTAAATAATATTATTACATTTGTCTTATTCAAACAGGCAATCATGTCAGTGACAGTCACATTCTTTAATTTGATATCTTATTGTTCTTTTTTAAAACTAGGACACATGTATATAAATCATGTACAAAGAAACATGTAATCCATTCGTTAATTTTTTTATTTCAAACAATTTTTTTTTCAAAACATCTATAGAGATAATAACTACAATGTGATACCTATGATGAAAGTGGTAGTAGATGTCCACCAAGAAGTCATCAACTGGCAATGGCAGGGTCTTGATGGCCTTCTGTGCACAGAGGTTGGCTAAGTGGCAAACACACCCTACGTTGAACACACTTGGTGACATCTGCTGAATACGGGTCAGGACACTGTTGTTCTTGCCTATCATCACATTGCAGTTGTCAGATGAGAATCCAATGCAGTTGGCCCAAGGAATATCTCTATCACTGAAAAAATTAAAAAAAAGATTAACATTTTGATCACTTACAAATAAATGTACATGTGAGGTATATGACAATTTATATTCATCATGTTAAATTAAAATATTAAATTAAATCCTAAGTTTTATTTAGTAAATTTAATAAATATTATCTTATTTTTATACCAATAATAAATTTATTCAGGATACAATTTTCAGACTGTAATATGCCTTCTTGATGTCTTTTAATTATTTTTGTACATGGGTTGCTGTCTCACTGATGTATACCCACATCATTTTATTAATCTTTGGAAAATGTAGAAAATGTACTTACATGAACACCTGATTCAGGCAGTTGAATATTGATGAGCTGGTTCCAATATTGCAGGTTGGGATACCAAGGAACTGTGTGGATACTTTGCGTAAAGTCTGATTGTATACACGTACAAGGATGTTGAGCTTCTTGTTATCACCTTTGTCATTTGACTCATCAATCATAACAGTGAATTTCTCACTACGGCACATGTCATTTACTTTACTGTCCCAGTGTGGTGCTAAAGCTTGTGTGATGATGTGGGTTGTCTTGGTCCTCTTACAGGCAAACTTCTGTGCAGTTGCAGAGTCTGGAAACATAGCCTTGATTAGGTCACTAAAGTGGTCAGCCATCAGGAATGCACAGTTGTGCTCAGCTACATAGTTGGCGAAAAGTACCTCAGCATAAGCAACATTGTCAACTTTAGTACCACTACTAAACATACTACTAACAGAAGGTGTTGAGCTGATGGAGTTGTGGGCTTTCTGATGATTAGCTGTCTCCATATGTTTGGTCATGTCATTACGGCCACCGTAGCATATTTTGAAGTCAGCTTTGCATGAAGTGCAGTAGGCATGGTCTGTACCCTTGGCACTGGCCTTGCACCATTTGAATTCAGATTTCCAGGCAGTGTTGAATTTGGCAAGATACTTGGTCTTCTTTGCTGCTGGAGTATTTGGTGATAACATACGTTTCGGCATTTTGACAAATTATAAAATTGCCCAAGACAAACATTGTTATATAGGTATTCCATTGGCTTGGATAGAAAACAAGCCATAAATATCATATTTGAGTTGATTTCATATTTCTTTGAGGTTCAGTTCCGTGTTTTCAACAGCATCAAAGATCGCCGAGTCGTTGTTTATACAAATTAATCCATTGTCGGTCTTTCACTTTTAATCATCAAGGCGTGTGTCTTAAACTAGCCAGCTGATCACCTGGTAATTACCAATCAACTTTTATTGCTGTATATACAGTGTCAGTCTAATCCTAAACACCTTTATTGATTACTTGACGCTAATTGCCCTATATTTACCTTTGTCACAATATCAATAACAGGAAATGGTGACTTCCGTTTTTCTCAGAGTTTTCCCATAACAATTTCGAGTTTCTCGGACTTTTTCTCTGTCCGTATCAATTTTATAAACAAAAATGTCTACTGAAAATTTTTCGAGGTTTAAATTTTCAAAAAGCGGAAGATTTCAAATTTTAACGGGAGTGACGGAAGAGGGTCTGAAAAGCGGGAGATTTTGACTCCCGCCGGAAGAATCACATGTATGATACTTTCTTTTCCTTTTTGATATAAAAGAAGTTCTCTTTTGTACTAGATTTTTAGTTGGTAGTTTCTAACAAGAAAAATATAATTCTGTAACTATAAATGAATATTATAGAAATAAACTAAAAGAACAGTTATACTTTAATTGTATTCTCAGTTATGAATTGAAAAAAAATCAACATAACTTAAAAGAAAGAGAGCATCGCCGCGACGCATAAAATGACATTGAGAAATATAAATACATTTTTTTTTACGCCAAATGTGATGCTATCCAAAATTCCTGGGGAGAACACTGTGTATGTACCAGTCCCAAGTCAGTAACCTGTCATTCAGTGGTTGTCCTTTGTTGCTGTATACCATATTTGTTTTTCATTTATTGTTTGTACATAAATCTGGCCTTTAGTTTTCTCGTTTGAATTGTTTACATTTGTTATGTCAAGGCCTTTTATAGCTTGCTATGGAGTATCGATTTTGCTGATGGTTGAAGGCCATACAGTAACATATAGTTGCTAACATCTACGTCATTTGGTCTCTGAAGAAGTCGCGTAATTGGTGATCATACCACATCTTCTTATTTTTATATTGGTACTTGTCTTGGAAATTAAGAAATCATGCATGACTTAAAATACCTGACGTTCATGTTGAATGCCAGGTGTGGCAGTAAAGCTAACAGTGCACCAGTCACAAACTGATTTAACATACCTGACTTTTCCTGTCTAATGCCAGCTGTAGTAGTGACTCATAGTGGATACCAGTTAGAAGACTGTTTGTCAACTTGTCACATCCCATTACATTTTGAATACTCTAATTAAAAGAAAATGCAGGTTAATATTTTCTCAGTCAAATTGGTTAGAAAATGAGTTGCATTTAAAAGTGCCTTTTTTTTGGCCTTGATAATAAAATAAATATCAATAAAAACAAGGAATCTACAATTAGAACATTTTGCCTTATAATAGCTAAAAAAAGCTTATAGAACTCACCATTTATTTAGGTAAGCATCCTTTTCAATTTAAAAAGTACTGACACATATGTGGCTCAGTATCTGAGAAATGAATGCTGCTCATAAAAAAATACCTTCCAATTCAATATATGGCCTTACCAAAGACATAAAAATAAGTTCTATGTTGAAAAAATTGTCACTTGTAATATGTAAAAGGTCGACTTTCATATACTAAGGACTGTTCCATCATTTATGGAACGTAAGTGGGAATGGCATCGTTTTTAAACCACAAGCAACCACAATAGAGATATTTTCAAGTTCTACATACATGCAATCCTCAAAAAATTCTTAAACAAGATACAAGACATGATTATTTAAATGCCTTGCATTTCCCCACAACCCAAAAGTCAATTCTGCAAAAACCACAGGTATAAAAAGGAAACTAGAGGCTCTAAAGAGCCTGTGTCGCTCACCTTGGTCTATGTGCATATTACACAAAGGACACAGATGGATTCATGACAAAATTGTGTTTTGGTGATGGTGATGTGTTTGTAGATCTTACTTTACTGAACATTCTTGCTGCTTACAATTATCTCTATCTATAATGAACTTGGCCCAGTAGTTACAGTGGAAAATATTTTGTAAAAATTTACAAAATTTATGAAATTGTAAAAAATTGACTATAAAGGGCAATAACTCCTTAAGGGGTCAATTGACAATTTTGGTCATGTTGACTTATTTGTAGATCTAACTTTGTTGTACATTATTGCTATTTACAGTTTATCTCTATCTATAATAATATTCAAGATAATAACCAAAAACAGCAAAATTTCCTTAAAATTACCAATTCAGGGGCAGCAACCCAACAACGGGTTGTCAGATTCATCTGAAAATTTCAGGGCAGATAGATCTTGACCTGATAAACAATTTTACCCCATGTTAGATTTGCTCTAAATGCTTTGGTTTCGGAGATATAAGCCAAAATCTACATTTTATACCTATGCTCTATTTTTATACGCCCGTCAAATTTTTGACGGGACGTATTATGGTATACAAATGTCCGGCGTCCGTCCGTCTGTCCGTCTGTCTGTCCGTCTGTCTGTCCCGCGTAAACATGTCGCACCGTAACTTGAGAATGACTTATCCAAATTTCATGAAACTTAACATAGTTGTTTCTTATGATGGTCAAACGATCTGTATACTTTTTGGTGAAAATAAGATTAAAACTTTTTGAGTTACGGGACTTAGTAACTAAAACAGGTGTGTGTTTTTTTTCACATGTCGCGCCGTATCTCAAAAACAATTTATGATTATTGCTTAAAACTTTACACACTTCTTAGTTATATTAATCTTAAGATCTGTATACTTTTTGGTGATGATTCAAAATTTTATTTTAGAGATATTGAGTATTTTGTTAAAAAAGGGGGAGGGGTTTTTCACATGTCGCACCGTATCTCAAAAACAGTTTATGATTATTACTTAAAACTTTACACACTTCTTAGTTATATTAACCTTAAGAACTGTATACTTTTTGGTGATGATTCAAAATTTTATTTTTTGAGTTATTGAGTATTTTGTAAAAAAAGGGGGAGGGGTTTTTCACATGTCGCGCCGTATCTCAAAAACGATTTATGATTCTGGCTTAAAATTTTACACACTTCTTATTTATATTAATCTAAAGATCTGTATACTTTTCGGTTTTGATTCAAAATTTTATTTTTGAGATATTGATTTTTTTTTTTTTAAAAGGGGGGGTTTTCACATGTTGCGCCGTATCTCAAAAACGATTTATGATTATTGCTTAAAATTTTACACACTTCTTAGTTCTATTAATCTAAAGATCTTTATACTTTTTGGTTTTGATTCAAAATTTTATTGTAGAGATATTGAGTTTTTTGTAAAAAAAAACGGGGGTTTTTGCATGTCCAACGTATGTCAGAAACTATTTATGCTTATTGCATAAAAATTCACACACAAGACGATGGGCGTATCATGCGCTCATGGCGCAGCTGTTTATTAGCCATGGCGGCCATCTTGGTTGGATGGCGGGGTCACCGGACATATTTTTTAAACTAGATACCCCAACGATGATTGTGGCCAAGTTTGGTCAATTTTGGCCAAGTAGTTACAGAGGAGAAGATTTTTGTAAAAGTTTACGGCCGACGGACGCCAAGTGATGAGAAAAGCTCACTTGGCCCTTTGGGCCAGGTGAGCTAAAAAGGTAAAATATATTTGAACAGTAAAAGTGTAATGTTGACTGCCAAAAACTAAGTTCATTTATTAGTAAACTATGAACAAATAAAAAAAAAAAACAATCTTTTTTCTTCTGGTGCTATTTCTTGAACTTGAAGAAGGTTCTGTCTAAGTTTCGTAAATTCATTGAAAATTTTTACAATGACTAATTGATGTCGGAAAAACTTTAACCAATGTTTACTGCACACAAAAAACTAAGTCAATTTATCTTTAAAATACCGAAAAATGAGAGCAAAAATATTTAAAATATTGCTTTGGATACAGTCTTTTGATCATTAAAAAGCTTTTGTTCCAGTTTTGTAAAACTACTTGAAGGTTAAAAGTGTATCTTAATATAATGTTAACTGCAAACTATGTCGCTCACCTTGGTCTATGTGCATATTAAACAAAGGACACAGATGGATTCATGACAGAATTGTGTTTTGGTGATGGTGATGTGTTTGTAGATCTTACTTTACTGAACATTCTTGATGCTTACAATTATCTCTATCTATAATGAACTTGGCCCAGTAGTTTCAGTTGAAATTATTTTGTAAAAATTTACAAAATTTATGAAAATTGTTAAAAATTGATTTTAAAGGGCAATAACTCCTTAAGGGGTCAATTGACAATTTTGGTCATGTTGACTTATTTGTAGGTCTTACTTTGCTGTACATTATTGCTGTTTACAGTTTATCTCTATCTATAATAATATTCAAGATAAAAACCAAAAGCTTCAAAATTTTCTTAAAATTACCAATTCAGGGGCAGCAACCCAACAACGTGTTGCCTGATTGGTCTGAAAATTTCAGGGCAGATAGATCTTGACATAATGAACAATTTTATCCTGTCAGATTTGCTCTAAATGCTTTGGTTTCAGAGATATGAGCCAAAAACTGCATTTTACCCTATGTACTATTTTTTAGCCATGTCGGCCATCTTGGTTCGCGGGCGGGGTCATCAGACACATTTTTTAAACTAGATACCCTAATGATGATTGTGGACAAGTTTGGTTAAATTTGTCTTAGTAGTTTCAGAGGAGCAGATTTTTGTAAAAGATTACAAAAATTTACGAAAAATGGTTAAAAATTGACTATAAAGGGCAATAACTCCTAAAGGGGTCAACTGACCATTTTGGTCAAGTTGACTTATTTGTAGATCTTACTTTGCTGAACATTATTGCTGTTTACAGTTTAAAGTTAAGTTTAATTTGGCCAAGTAGTTTCAGAGGAGAAGATTTTTGTAAAAGTTAACGACGACGGACGCCAAGTGATGAGAAAAGCTCACTTGGCCCTTTGGGCCAGGTGAGCTAAAAAACTAAGTTCATTTCTCAGTTAAACATGGAAAAATGAAAAAAAAAATATCTTCAAAATTTTACTCTTGATACTGTCTTCTGATCAAAAAAAGCTTCTGTCAAAGTTTTGTATAATTCCATGAAGGTTTTACGAATTTATTGATGTCTAAAACAAGAGTGTACACGCTGAAATGTCTCGCCTTCTTTACTAATCATTGATATTATGTTGATAGTCCTAAATATAAAGCTTTCTTACAACTGTCACATAAACTTAACATTAACCAAGAAAACTAAACATTGACCAATGAACCATGGAAATGAGGTCAAGGTCAGATGTACCATGCCAGGCAGGCATGTACAGCTAACAATTCTTCCATACAACAAATATAGTTGACCTATTACTTATAGTTTAAGAAAAACAGACCAAAACACACAAACTTAACACTGAGCAATGAACTGTGAAAATGAGGTCAAGGTCAAATAAAAACTGTGCAACTGACATAAAGATTATAAAATAATTCCATACACCAAATATAGTTGACCTATTGCATATAGTATTAGAAAAAAAGACCAAAACTCAAAATCTAACTTTGACCACTCAAGTGTTCTCCCCAGGCCCTTAAAGGACCGCGGGCCTGCGATGTATAATTTTTTACCGTGGTGGTATCGTTCTTACCGTGATGTATAATTTTTCTCCGTGGTGCTAAAATTTTCAGTAAAAAAATCGTAAATCGGTAAAGTTTTAAACGACTTGTTAAATCTTTTCCGTGCGGTATAAAATTCCAGGTGAAATTTGACCAGTTCAAACCAGTTCAACACGGATTGTTTACACCACGTGATCGATTACCTTATGAGGTTAACCTTGTTGATTGGATTAAAATCGATGTAATTAACACTTGTAACATGATTCTTTTGTGTTTTAATTAAGAGTTCATAACTTTATGATCACAGATAACTATTTTATGGCTTCACTCAAGCACTGACCTGTGACATGCCGGCAAATACTTTGTACACAAACAGCGTCTTGACCTGATAGGTACATTTTTTGTACATCATAAAGGTGGCTCATTACGTATAATTGACATTCTCAATTCTTATATTATAGTATTATATGTCTCTGATTAAACCATGGCCAATATTATCTTTAATTATGACATAGTTATTGCATGATAGTCGGGTTTCAAACTGTAGTATCTGTCTGTACATATCACATGACCCAGTTAGTTCACGTAGAATATTCAAGTTTATTTACAATTAATTGCAATCTATTCTATTTTATAAATAAAATGCATGACTGTACCTTCAAACTGGATATCTATATCCATAATTAATAAATAACAGAAGTAATCTTGCAAATTTTATCCATAAGCACATGTTAAATCTATTTATATCTACTTCCTGTCATTTAGGCGGGAAAATAGGGAGACTTAGTTGTTGACATTGAATATGGTTACTTATAGATCTATAGATCAAAGATAAATTTATAGATTTAGGAATTCTTTTTAAATGGTTCATGACAAATAAAGATTTAAATTTCAGTGCAGTATTTAGTCTGTATCTATGTTTGATTATCACCAAAGACAAGAAAGGTTAATATTTACATGAAATCTATGGCAAAATGTTCTAAAATTTATGAAAAATTTCTTTTTATTAAAATCTAAGATAGAAACTGGTTCAAAAAATAAAAAAATATTTGCAATTATTTTTGTTAATTTTATATCTTCTTATGACAGGAATCCTTTCACATTCAACAACTTTCTTTCTAGAAACTAGAAAGTTTTTTTAAATTAAACATTTTTGTTCTCTTTTGAATGATATTTTATTTTCATTGATTTTGGATTTTATAAAAGATTTAATTACTTTAAATTCAGATGAATATGAATCATTATTTATTTATTTTTAAAAAATATTAAAGTATACAAACTGTTTTTTGATTTACTTCTTTTTTTTCCAATAATTTTCTGACTCAATATCTAAATAACACAGTACCACAGTATTAAAACAAAACAAGAGACATAAAAACTACAGTAACTAGAAATAGAGCTAAGCGACGCGATGCGACACAACTGATTGTATGAAATATTTCACCAAGCTGTCCGCACGCGTTACCCTGGTGCTATCCAAAAATCCTGGGGAGAACACTGCCACTGAACCATGAAAATGAGGTCAAGGTCAAATGACACCTGCCAGCTAGACATGTACACCTTACAATCATTCCATACACCAAATATAGTTGACATTGCTTAAAGTGTAAGAAAAGCAGACCAAAACACAAAAACTTAACATAAGCAATGAACCATGAAAATGAGGTCAAGGTCAAATAAAACCTGCCAGACTGACATGTACATAATTAAATATTTCCATACACCAAATATAGTTGACCTACTGCATACAGTATTAGAAAAACAGACCAAAACACAAAAACTTAACATTGAGCAATGAACCATGAAAATGAGGTCAAGGTCAAATAAAACTTGCCAGACTGACATGAACATGGTACAATATTTCCATACACCAAATACAGTTGACCTATTGCATACAGTATTAGAAAAACAGACCAAAACACAAAACTAAACTATGACTACTGAACCATGAAAATGAGGTCAAGGTCAGATGACACCTGCCAGTTGGACATGTACCCCTTACTATCATTACATACACCAAATATAGTAGACCTATTGCTTATAGTATCTCAGATATGGACTTGACCACGAAAACTTAACCTTGTTCACTGATCCATGAAATGAGGTCGAGGTCAAGTGAAAACTATCTGACGGGCATGAGGACCTTGCAAGGTACGCACATACCAAATATAGTTATCCTATTACTTATAATAAGAGAGAATTTAACATTCCAAAAAATCTGAACTTTTTTTCCAAGTAGTCGCTGAACCATGAAAATGAGGTCAAGGACATTGGACATGTGACTGACGGAAACTTCGTAACATGAGGCATCTATATACAAAGTATGAAGCATCCAGGTCTTCCACCTTCTAAAATATAAAGCTTTTAAGAAGTTAGCTAACGCCGCCGCCGGATCACTATCCCTATGTCCAGCTTTCTGCGACAAAAGTCACAGGCTCGACAAAAAACTTTAACCAGAGACTGAACCTAAATATTTACACAGCCAATGACAGATGAAGGATCACTATGTTACTTCTTCACCAAAATATTGTAGGATCTACAAAACAAAATAATCCCGGATACCGATTCTTAAAGAGCAAAAAAATAGCCTCTACAGGTGGTTACCACAATTTCACATCCTTGAGGATGATGTATTTAGTTTATATTAGTTGGGGTCAACCTTGTGACCTTAGAATTATCTATGATACCAGCTTTGTCTTGTGTAATCACCTGTATCAAATAGCTTTCAACTGATTTTTTATATCTACTGAGGAGGATATACTGAGTCCGAGGATAATATATAATGTAGACTGTATCACTGCTACGGTACATGTTTCTAGGACCGCTCTGTATGTACACCCTCATCCACAACACACCATTTAACATTCTTACAGATACAACATTCTCCTGTAAAAAAAATATTAAACAATACAAATAAACAGCTGCACCATGCGCACATAATATGCACACACATCCTTTTACTGACCCTGTTTCTTAGATAAAAAAGTCTAAATTATCTAATATCTTTTAATTATTATATTACAATATTAATACAACATTTATATAGTGTCAAAATTTAATAAAAACAGGTTAAAGTAAGTTGACCTGTTGAACAAAATGTGAAAGTATTTACAAACGGGGCATACTAAAAACAGGTAACTTTTAAAGACAGACTAGGCATGAAAAAGTATTATGTAAAATTGCAATAGCATTTATACAAATTGAATATTCTATTAACCAAACATTTAATCAACATTTGTCTTCACATTTTCTCTTTTGATTAGAAATTCTTTTTTTCTGTAAACAATGGTAAAGAAAACAGTTTACTAAACAATCAACTTAAACCAACCATAGAAAGTTTTACAGGTTGTTGATGGGCACTGTGAAATCTACATTGAGAAGAACTGTAATTATTATACTAAGCAGATGCCAAAACGTGAGTGACTTGTGGCTTGGTAAATATTGCATCAAACACTGCTTTTTATATTTCTATTACAGAATTAAAGTAAGATCTTTTACATAATTCAAGTAAGATCTAGAAAGTACTTTTCACTCATGGTAGAGAAATTTAACAACATGATCAACTGATCATATTGCTACCTATAAGCTTTAAAGTTATTTTTATGGAAAATATATGGGAGGCTTTCTCACCAAATGATATTTTTAGTGCAGGTAATAGACTCTAATTTGGCATTGAAATTAGAAAGATCATATTATCGGGAACATTAGATCTAAGTTTCAAATTCATTGGACTTCAACTTCATCAAATACTACTTTGACCAAAAGCTTTAACCTGAAGCAGAACAGACAGACGAACAAAGGAAGACACACAGACCGAAAAAACATAATGCCCCTTTACTATCGTAGGTGGGGCATAAAAAGAATTATGGGTGAAAGGGTATAACAAATTGTTGTCCAACCCCACATACATTTTTTTTCCTGGAATATACACACATACTCTCTCAAAAAATACTGTTATTTCACTCTTCAGCTTCTTCTTCAGTTTCAAGGGATTGGATAAATTGCTGTCACTTATATAATGTTCTAAAAAGAAAAACAGAAAATATTTTCACAACATTTTCTAAAGGTCTACCAAATGGGAACTTCAATCAGATCAGAAGTTATAGCATGTGATTAAAATGTTAAGCTGATCTTTTAAGAGTTAACTCTCTCATGTGTTCTGTACCCCTTAATCGGCAAGAAATAGAATCCAGATTTTTTCAAATAAACATTTGTATCAAGTTCTGAAATATACATCTTTACAACTTTTAGAAAAAGAAAACCTTTCTAACTGTAAAATTGCAAAATGCAATGCACAATATCTATAGTAATTTACAAATTCTACAATAAACTTTTTTTTAATTTTTCATGGTTCACTGATTTTTCTATTTTCTTTGAACTTTTTATTTAAATATGAAAAAAAACCACTCAAATATTTCCAACAGAATCCCCTCAGAAAAGTTTAAACAATTCTAATTAGCAGCAAGTGGCAAGACTTCTCATGTGTAATTATGGGTATTCTGTCATAAAGGGGCTGATAAGGAAGACTTTTCATGCAGGTAGTTGAAATAAGATGTCAATCCAAAGTATAGAATGAGACTTCCATTTTTAGAGACAAAACATAGAATTAATACTTGAATGCAAGACTTAAATCAGGCTTACATTTCTAGAAATCTTAGAACTTTGTTTTCAGAAATTTATAAACTAATTAAGTTTAAAGTTTTTTTAAAACACTTGACTTAAGTTTATGTTAAGAAAATTTAAACTTTAAATAATATTACCATCATCTTTCTCCATTAAAAACACACTCCATTGTTTCTTTGTTGAATACTCTTGTGTACCTTCAATAGACAAAAAACAAAAAAATATTTTAAACAATAAGTCATGATCCTGCATTAATTCAGTGGTTGTGGTTTGTTGCTGTATGTTATATATGTTTTTTGTTTATTGTTTCGAACATAAATCAAGCCATTAGTTTTCTCGTTTGAACTGTTTTACATCTGTCATTTCAGGGCTGTTTATAGCTTGTTATGTATTATGGAGTTTGCTCATTGTTGAAGGCCGTACAGTGACCTATAGTTGTTAACTTCTACATCATTTGGTCCCTGGTGGAGAGTTGCCTCATTGGCAATCATACCACATTTTCTTATTTAAATCTGAACACTGGAAACATTTCATGTCCATGATTATGGTAATGGTATTAATCATTTGAAACAATCATTTCTATACTTCACAGCCTTTTGAGTCACTTTTTAAAACACAAATCTTTTTTCATTTAAAAGATTGAAAACCAGAAAACATTATTTAAAAATATAAAATGTTTAAATATATAAATAGTTAATAAATAAAAAAAAAACATTACAAAAAAATGAAATAAAGCTGACTACCACTTAATAAAAAGCTTACTATATTTGCCAGTTTGAGCAAACATTATGCCATGATCTTGCAGACAGACATTCACACCTTGTGACACACCCTTTGATGGTGGGCAACAATCATATAAAGTATCATCAATACCCTTTATCATGTTTATGACTTTGTGAGGTTTTGAGTCTGACAAGAATTTATTTGAACAAGGCCTTTATGGATGTAAAGTTGAACAAGTTTGTGACCTTGACCTTAATAAGAGTCATTTCAACCTTACTGATGCATACTCTCTGGTGGTAGACGACAAAAATATGAAGTTTTGTGTATCATTAAAATTCTACAAGGCATTCAGAAGTATCAAGTTTGAAACAACTTTGTATTATATATAATATTTCAACTTTTTAAATATTTGGATTATATGTTGACTGTTGCTTAGTCTTCATTTTTCTGTGCAGTGATTGTAGACTCTTGCTCAGTCCTTATTTTTTTGATACTGAAGGTTGGTGGTTCTCACCAGGCACTCTGGCTTCCTCCACTCATAAAAACTGACCGCCACGAAATAGCACATTAGTGTTGAAAGTGGCTTTAAACACCAATCAATCAATATTTTTTTGCTTAGAATTTTGTAGACTGTTCTTTGCCTTTTCATCGTTTTTCCATGGTATTATGTGTTTTTCTTTGACATATGATTTTTTATTGTCCCTATATATACAATAAGTAACATGATATATAAGCTATATATCCCACTACATAAAGATGGTCAAGAACACAAGTATTGCTTGTGAATTGAATGTGTATACCAGAACATGCAATAAATAATTTCTTATACTGTAAATTCAGAAATTATTGCGAGGTTTTTATTAATGCGAATAATGCGACTGAGTGAGTATCGCAATAATAAGAACTGGCATTCTGATATCTGAGACATATAATGTGAAATCGCAATAATAAATCTCGCATTTTTGTTAATTCTTCCAAAATCGCAATAATTTCTGAATTTACAGTAATTCAATCTGTATAATGAACACCTCTGTCAATTATATTTCACACATAAATCTTAATCTTCAGATCCAAATAAAAACTATTTAGACAGGTTACCCAGTATTTTCAATGTGTCATATAATAAAAATAGGTGAAATGAATCCTTTAAGTTTAATGTAACATGTACAAAATGTACATGTATTCTAAAGTTATATATGACCATGATGACAGAATATCATGAATATCTCAATTATAATCCCCTGCTATTTCTCGTCTCAATAATTTTAACTTACAAATCAGATCCAATTCTCCACATACATCTCTTGATAAGCCCTCTTTTTGCTGAAATTACACACAATATGGACTTATATAATAATATACTTCAGTAATACATTTCGATATTTCCCATCTTTTGTAATTCAGTGGTGACAGTTATGTTCGTGTATTTAACGGTGCAGAGTATAAAATAATTCTTCAGATCAAACTCGGACCTACATTTCCAGATAACATAAATTGAATGTTCCGGAAATTCAGGTTGGTCAAATTTTACTGCGTTCTGTTTGAAGATTTATTCTATTCTCTCCGAAATTGAATTCAGGATCTTGGAAAAACTGCTTAATGTTTGGAAAAAGAAGTAGGTCATCCTCATCCCTGATGGAATTGTAACTTATTTTTGGATATTTCTGGAAATATCTTACACCAGTAAGCACACAAAAGATAAGAGTTTGGATACAGAAAGGTTTTGGTTGACACAAATTGAGCAAGAGTTACTTCCCTTTTTCACCATGTTGGAGGTCTAAGTGCGCAATTTCCTTCTTATAAAGTCAGCCAACTTGTTATACTGACTGCTTGCTATATATAGACTTGAGAAAAAGGGCTTTTCTGAACAATTTTATTTTTTTAAGCTGTGCTTAACCCTTTAGCCCCCAATCCCGCCTGTAGGCGTGATGGCGACAACCATTCTTTGATGGCCCGTATGACCCTCCATACCTTTTTTGAACTGCCCCAGCTGAACTGTCATGATAGCAGGGACTTCAACCAAGCAGTTCATGGTCCATAAACTCTTCTCAGATGTCTGTTCATGAAAATATGGCACTTTGAAAGCCGTTTAAGAGTTCAAAATCAGAAAAACGTGAAAAGTAGCCAAAATCAGGTGGGGGTGGGTATCTTTTGATGGCCACTACGTAACTGGTAGTGACTGTAGGTATAAACTATTATCATAAATGCATGCATAGGTGGTCCAGGAACACAGCAAGGTATAATATGGCCAATAGGAATCTAGTCTGTAGAATCTAGGTCACCGTTTTGTCAAAAATCCGTAAAAACGGACATTTAGGCAGACCTGACTTGACAATAACAATTCCCCAGCAAGACACTTAAGGCCAATATACTCCCAGTTAGCATGAATGGACTGCTGTAACTATAGGGTAATACTTGAATGACAAAGAAAAACAGTCTGGTCAATGTTCACCTCTCAAGGTCGTTTTAAAATCGGAAAATAGACAGAAAATTAACATTTTTCAGTGGGGGTGGGTTCAGTATATAGTAAAATTGAGAATGGAAACAGGGAATGTGTCAAAGAGACAACAAACCAACCAAAGAGCAGAAAACAGCCCAAGACCACCAATTGGTCTTCAACACAGTGAGAATATCCTGCACCTGGAGGCAAGCTTCAGCTGGCCCCTAAACAATAATGTATAGTATTACTAGTTCAGTGATGTCACACTCTGAAACATATCAATGAACCAAAATTAAAAAAACATACAAGACTAACAAAGGCCAGAGGTAAATTCGTTCCCTTGGGACAATGTGTCGGAATTATACATGTTTTAGAGATCTTAACTCTCCCCCTATACCACTAGCCAATATGGAATAAACAAACACATAGCAATACACACAGTAAAACTTGGTTTTAAGGCGGTCAAATCAGAAAATTGCTCCTGACTCAGAATCCCAAAAGGGATTAACAATGTAGCAGTTACCACGATTTTCCAAGAACTCCAAAGAACTGAATAGTGACCCAAGAACTGATAAATGTTACCCGAAAACTTTATTCTATAATTATAACAATAATAATAATATAATAATAATAATAATAATAATAAATTCTTTATTTAAAGAGGGTAAACACAGTTAGTTACAATTACTAATCTTCCCTGAGGCCCTCATATACAGGGGTTTCATTATCTTTCATGTTGACCGGTACATTCCTATTTGAAGGTGGTACTTTTCAATATATTCAATGAACATCTTATATAAAAATTTCTGAATTCAGGCGGTACTTATCTGTAGCATAGGAGGGTAAAAGTATCGGGTACTGCCTCCTAATGAATGGCCTGCATATACAATACAAGTAAAAAAATAATAAGAGAAAAAAAAAAAAAAAAAAGCAAACATACAACATATCAACACAATCGTATAGTCATGATAGTTCAATATACATGTATCATTAGAACATATAAAACAGTTACAGATTGCATATGGTTTTATACTGCTGTTATAGATATTTATATAATTTTGAAATATAAGTCATTTTTACTAAAAAATAAGTATAATAAGTATAATTTCACTTCAAAAAATCGATTTTGTGTTTCTTGTATACAAGTTCTTTGCATAACAATATGGCCTACTTAAATTATTCAAAGGATAGATAACTGTATCTAAATAAAAGAGTAAAACAGTTCTGAAGGATTGGTTTCTTTAGTAATGGAAATTTAAAAGGTAAATACATATTTGGAAAACTTGAATTTAAAAAAAAAATTATTAATACTTTCTATACTTTTATTTAGATCGAATAGAGTTATCCACCTTTTAAATATTCACATCTGCCATATTTTTATCCACACAGAACTAGCATACAAGACACACAAATTGAATTCATGAAGTGAAACTGTACTTTTATTAAATAAAAACGACTTGTATCTTAATATTATATACTTTAATATCTATTAAAGCAGTATAACACCATATAAAATAATAGTTTTTGGTTAAAATCTATCCGTTCTCGGGTCAATATTCAGTTCTTGGGAGTTCTCAGGAAATCATGGTACTGCAATACACCTTATCACTATTTAGTCCAAGCCGGGAAAAGCAGTTACTTAGGTACTTCCTGCTGAGGTCAAGCAGAACAAAACAAAGGTTATCAGCAATGATCTGAGGGAGGAAAAAGTTTGGAAAGCGGATATTTTAAAATTTTAATAGTGTAAGAAGCAATTTTTAAAAGACAAATTGGAGTCATTGAAAATACTTTGTCTGATGTGTTTAAACAAGGCCCTAGTCCAAATAATTATGACGTCTTGAAAGGCTATTTTAATTTTTTTTCTGTGACAAAGGCATCACAAAAAAAATTAAAATAGCCTTTCAAGACCGGTCTAAAATTACACAACTTTTCATACCAGTTGAAGCTATCTGGGGCCGGGTAACACGAATGACCTAATAACACCGTTATTATCAAAATAACACTTGTAATGACCGAATAACACTTGAAATTTTAATATTAGCACATATTGGGGACTTTTAAATATTGATTATTAAATAATATTATATTTTAAGTGTAATTTATAACTTAAAAATGATTAACAGAAAGCAGGTAAGTTTATAAAGATCGTTTTAAATTTAGTGTGTACAGGGTGTACATCCTGGTCATCCAACAAGGCGACCATTGTGATTTCCTTGGTCGCCACAATGGATGTACACACTATATTTCAAATAATCTTTATGAACTTACCTGCTTTCTGTAAATCATTTTTAAGTTATAAAATACATTAATAATATACTATTATTTATTAATCAAAGTTTAAAAGTCACCAATATGTGCTAATATTAAAATTTCAAGTGTTATTTGGTCATTACAAGTGTTATTTGGACAATAACGGTGTTATTCAGTCATTCGAGATACCGATCTGGGGCCTTGCAAGTCCAAATAATTATGACATCTGGGGCCTTGTAAGTCCAAATAATTATGACGTCAGACCTCATAATTATTTGGACTTACAAGGCCCCAGATAGCTTCAACTGGTATGAAAAGTTGTGTAATTCTAGAACTTATCTGGATAGGAATAAATAGCGATATAAAGGTGTATGTAGCACATCTATGCCACTAGCACCTGCATCTTATCATTATTTTCTCAACTTTCAGAGTTTGCTGCAAAAGAATTGTTAGTAAGGGGACGAAGTCCCCAATTACAGTAGAAAAATCAATAAAAAAAAAAGAAAAAAAAAAAATCAGGAAAATTTCCCGAAATTTTCATTGTACTAATGAACTCAAAATCGTTAACTTTTTTTTTGTAACTTTTTTTAATTCCCGCATTTGCGCAGAAATCTACTTCCTTCTTCCGGTCTCGTTTGTCATGAGACTTTGAGTGAAATATATATTTATCAATCCAGTAAAATATAGGAAGGAACACAATAACAATTTCATTTCTAATTATTCTTTGATATGAAAAAACGTTACCTGATGATAGCGTTTCTTTGTTTACATTGAATATGACGTCATAACTAAAATAACGTCACAACTAAAATCCCTAACAACAGAACCAAAATCGGTAACGTTACGGTATTTCCGTTTCTTTTTTAACAGATTTAGGACTTAAAATATGTTTGAATTAAAAAAAAAAAACTTATGTAGACTTCGTCCCCTTTCACAGGTAATGCCTGCCTCATATTAATTGTACAGCGAGGAGTGTATTCTTTAAACAATGAAACAAAAAATAAAAACATTTGATTCTGAGATTGTACAGCTTTTCATACATTTTGTTCTTACATTGCAAACTTCAATAAGGGAATTCGTGATCTCTCTTTTTGTTTTACTAAGATCAATCTGTTCTACTTCTTGTTCCAGCCAGCCCCAACGTTCTAGAATTGGTTTTAGATCTTTTGTTCTGGTTCTCGATACGACATGACCCAAAAGTTGTTTTTGCATTGTTATGACAGAAAATGAAAAAAATAACTTTCGTGTCTGTCAAAATTGCCGCTTTGGCTTTCATCAATGTGTACACAAATTTCGATGACGTATATCGCGACCGGAAGTGAAATTGTTTCATAAGAAGGGCAACGAAAATCTTCTGTACTTGGCAATGTAAGGTATAATTTTTTTAAGCACCACCAATGTTAGTGTAAAATAGATTCATCCTTATACTTTAACTAGAGGGGTATTACGGTTTTTGGGTAAACTATTAAAGGGCAAAATGATGTATTTATATTTATTATAACACGAATAAAAACTGAGTTAGACAACCCTGGCTTAGGCCTGAGACTACTATAACACTTTGTTATAGTAGTCTCAGCTTAGGCTTAGTCCAATAGACAACTTTTGAGTTCGTTGCATTTTCGTCAAAAACTTTGGTTTTAGTGTAGTGAACATCATTTGTGCGTTTAGGGGCATCGTCACTTCTTTCCCATGTTGATCGAGTGGTTGAAAAAATATAATGATGTATTGCAAGAATTATTCGGCAAATTAGATTCTTATAATTGATAATCAGCACTGCTGTCATTAGGGAATTATGATTAAGTACCTACGAAAAAAAAATTTTTTAGTTTATCCTGCATAATGACGATCACGAAGACGCTTGATAAACTTTGATACTGCAGGAATATAGGCGATCCCCTCTATCTGGTTAATGACGTCATAAAGGCGTGCATAATTGACGAACTTTCCTGGGAAGGACATAACTCGAAAGTGGTCTATTAATTATGGGTACAAGTCAAATCGGCACCTACAGAAAAAGTCAAATCGGCACCTCATTAATTCGGCACCTACTGAAAAAGTCAAATCGACACCTGGTCAATTCCACACTTACAGAAAAGGTCAAATCGGCTTCTAGTTTAATCAGCACCTATTTAAAGTAATTTTGGCACTTAATATTATTTTTACCCTTTTTTTTCCTTTTGACATGAGGCACGGGGAGAATGGTTTTTTTTTTTGTGGATATATATAAATTTTTGGAAAAGCTTACAATTTTCCTGAAAGAAACATCAGAAATTAGAAAATTTGAATTGTTGAGATGTTAGAATCAATTTTTACTTTTTAAATACAAATGCAAGTGTAGTTCAATGTACATGTACATATAGTCATGATAGTATTATGATTTCTTTTTTAGATCTTTACACCAGAATGCATACAGACTTATCACCACATCTCCATACAGAAGAGTGCAATAAGTTTATTTATGCATATAAGAAATGCATGGAAAATGTATGTATTTGAAAAGCCTCTGCTTCATCATCTTTTAAATATGAATTTTTGTTGTTTTAATGTTCATACCTCAAATATGTTGTCACTAGCTTATCCCTGTACCTACTCATGTTATTGCAGATTAAATACATGCATATGAAATAGAAATATGAATATACAAGTACATTTTACATATATATAACATGTATAAGGAGAAATAAGGAATTTACATACAAGTGAATTAGAAATAAGCTCTAGTGGGCATACATTTTTATTTAAGAAGATTTATCATGGATATGAGATAAACATCAATGAGACAGTCATGACAGTGGCCTGATGAACATAACAAATAGCTATACAGTTTAAGAAGCATTGGAAGATACTCATCTTTACCGTACTAATTTGTTAACTGGCAAAACGAAATGTCTGTAGTTACTAAATATTTTTGATACTGCTTTGTTCAGCATGTGTTCAGTCTGGATATTTATGTACGAAGACTATTACCATGATTACTTAATCTAAACTTTTATAAAGCATTGCACTTGCATTGATTTCGCAAATAAGACAAATGTAGTGAATAAGATGAGACCAGTAATATACTCTCTGGTGGATAATTGTCTCATTGTCAATCATTCCACATCTTTTTTATTTTTGAAATATTTGTTTTACAAACATGACATAGGTTTGGGTTTTTATTTTAAGCATTTCCTATACCCTGAAGGTACCAATGTATTTCCAGTAGTGAGATTTCTGAATGAATTTCAATTTGTCAGCATTTTTCACAATTCACAGAGTTTGCATTTCCTGTCATGATTTCCTTGGTAGACTAGATTTTTTAGTGTGTCTTTCTATGTTGTGATGTAACACTATTGTTTCAGATAAGGGTGAAGGTTTGGTACCATTAAAACGTTTAAACCCGCTGCAATTGTTTACACCTGTCCTAAGTCAGGCATCCGATGTTCAGTAGTTGTCGTTTGTTGATGTGGTTCATAAGTGTTTCTGGTTTCTCGTTTTTTATATAGATTAGACCGTTGGTTTTCCCGTTTGAATAGTTTTACACTTGTAATTTTTGGGGCCCTTTATAGCTTGCTATGCGGTGTGAGCCAAGGCTCCGTGTTGAAGACTGTACTTTGACCTATAATGGTTTACTTTTATAAATTGTGACTTGGATGGAGAGTTGTCTCATTGGCACACATACCACATCTTCTTATATCTAGATGGTTGCTGCTTACAACGAAGCTATTAAATCAAGAGTTCCAAGTGGTGAAGTTGAAATCATCCCTTCAAAAATTTTATGAACGCCAATACAAGTTGGTTAACTGTTATGGAATATCTGTTTCAATGATGACATTTTTATCCAAATTTCCTAACCACAATCATGTCATCTTTTCCTTGTATGTGAATGACTGAATTAGACTTATCACTGGGTTTGTTCTTACATGAGCAACATGATGGGTGCCACATGTGGAACAGAATCTGCTTACCGTTCCAGAGCACCTGATATCACCCCTGGTTTTTGGCGGGGTTTGTGTATCTCAGTCTTTGGTATTCTATGTTGTGTTTTGTATGCTGTTCTTTGTCTTTTGGTCGTTTTTATACGACCGCAAAAAAATTTTGAGGTCGAATATTGGTATGACGTTGGCGTCGTCGTCGTCCGGCGTCGTCGTCCGAATACACAATGGTTTTCGCACTCTAACTTTAGTTTAAGTGAATGGATCTTTATGAAATTTTACCATAAGGTTCAATACCACAATAGGAAGGTGGGGATTGATTTTAGGGGTTATGGTACCAACAGTTAAGGAATTAGGGGCCAAAAAGGGGCCGAAAATAAGCATTTTTGTAACTTCCAGACATAACTTGTGTGTTAGCATATGGATCTCTTTGACATTGTACCACAAGATTCCATATCACAAAGGGTCAATGCTGGGATTGATTTTGGGGTTAATTGCCTCAAAATTTTAGGAATAAGGGGCCAAAAGGGGGCAAAAAACAAGCATTTTTCTAGTTTCATGACAATAACTTGTGTGTAAGTGTATGGATCTTTCTGAAATTTTACTACAAGGTTCCATTTCACAAAGGGAAAGCTGGAATTGAGTGTTGTGGTAATTGCCCAAAACGTTTAGTAATAAGGGGCCTAAAAAGGGGTTTAAAATAAGCATTTTTGAGTTTCTAGACAATAACTTGTGTTCAAGTGTATGGATCTCTCTAAAATTGTATTACAAGGTACCATACCACAAAGGCAAGGCTGTTATTGAGCTTGGTTTGGGGGGAAAGGGGGGTGGGGGTGATGAATCATAAGGGGGGCGGGGGTCAAAAAAGGGGTAATATTTTTTTTTCCTTTTTTTTTTGTTTAAAATTTACATTTTAAGTTAGTTATTTTTTATCACGAAGAGAAAGTAGGAATTGAGTTTTGGGGTTGATTGCTCAAACATTTATGAATAAGGGGCCAAATATTGGTCGAAAATAAGGATTTTTTTAGTTTGCAACAAAAACTTGTGTTCAAGTGTATGGATCTCTGTGAAATTGTATTGCAATGTACCATACCACAAATTGAAGGTTGTGATTGAGGTGGGGGATGATGAATCAAAAGGGGGTTGAAAAAATGTGTGGGGGGTAGGATTTTTTTTTTCCTTTTTTTTTCTTTAAAATTTTCCATTTAAAGATGGTTGTTTCAGATTTATATATGAAAGAAAATAATAATGATACGGTTATATATCATGCGGAACTGAAATTTAAAATTATGTATATTGGAAATAAAGGTTACATTGGAAAGTAATAATTGGCTTTGGGGGGGGGGGGGTGGTTATGGCTCTAATGTTTAAGGAATAAGGGGAAAAAAGGTTAAAAAACAAGGGTTTCCATTTTAATAGACAAATAATTGAGTAAAGAACATTATTTAAAAGCAGTGTAAGGTTGGTAATTCAAACTCATTTAAATATCTCATCTACACTGCTTTTAAATTATGTAAATTGGAAATTTGCCAATAACTTTATTGTTAATAAATGCATTGGAAATTTGCCAACAATTTTAGTGTAATAAACTTCATTGGAAATTTGCCAATATAAAATTTTGCTGATGAAGGTTTTTTGTTTACCTTTAGCCTTGACTATGAAGTCATTTTCTATTTTTATAGCCTTATGATGTAGTTGAATTATTTAATACTTTTATGATGTGTTTAAATGGGGTTTTATCATGTTTATGGTTGCAAATTTATTGTTTTAGTATAATAAACTCCATTTAAAATTTGCCAATAAAAAAAATTTTTGTTTATTTTTAGCTATGATTATGATGTCATTTTCTATTTTACTTTTATGGTTGCAAAGAAATTTTTATTTTTAGATATTACTGTTAAATGATGCTGATTAAGGTTTTTGCTATGTTTAGCCATGACTATGATGTCATTTTCTATTTTAATATCTGTTATGATGTATTTAAATGGGCTTTTATGGTTACAAAGGAATTTTATTTTTAGATATTACTATAAAATGTTGCTGATGCTGATTAAGGATTTTGTTTATTTTTAGCCATGACTATGATGTCATTTTCTATTTTAATACCTTTATGATGTAATTTCCATTTTTAGATATTACTGTTAAATGATGCTGATTAAGGGTTTTTTGCTATGTTTAGCCATGACTATGATGTCATTTTCTATTTTAATATCTTTATGATGTATTTAAATGGGCTTTTATGGTTACAAAGGAATTTTATTTTTAGATATTACTTTAAATGTTGCTGATTAAGGATTTTTGTTTATTTTTAGCCATGACTATGATGTCACTTTCTATTTTAATACCTTTATGATGTATTTAAATGGGCTCCCATGTATTTAGATTTTTGATTATTTATACATGTTACCAAATTGGTCCACATTGAACAAAAACGGTCCAAATTTCAACTTTATTACATTACATCAAACATTGAATTCTACATATTCTTTGATATATTGAAATTAACAAACAATTTAGTTTATGGATATTCCACCATAATAGGTAAATTAAATTTTTTCCAGTTCTTACACCACATTCATCCTGTGTCAGAAACCTATGCTGTGTCAAATATTTAATGACAATCCAAAATCATAGCTGTATCAAGCTTGAATTTTGTGTCCATACTTGCCCCAACTGTTCAGGGTTCGACCTCTGCGGTCGTATCAAGCTGCGCCCCAGCGAAGCATTTTATTATTTTTTGCCGTGTCCTCGTCTGTTTTTTTTTTTTTTTTTACTAATGAGATTGAATGTCAATTTGGTACATTGTATCTTTTGTCACTCTTTTAAGACTTAAACAAAATTATAGAGGAATATTTGCTTTTTGTTTGGTTTTGTAATAAAAAGGTTTGATAATAGCATAGACTTTATAAAAATTTAGAACCCCAGAAATAAACATACTTTTTGCAGTGTAATGTATGTAGTCCCTAACATTAGAAATTCTACAGTAACCAACAGTCTTCACATGTTGGTCAATCAAATCAGGCTTTTTATTGTAAGCAGATAGGTGATAGTCAAATGATTATATACATGATTGTAGACATTTTAACGAATATTATAATTGTTTTTCAGAATTTTTTCTCAAAGTTCTTTGGCCATTGTGACAGACATGAACATTGGATGTCAAAGTGTCTGAAGAAAGAGGTAATAATGATAGCATCTGCATGGTTACTCTTCAAGGAGGTTTTTTCCAGCATGCAACATTTATTTGTGGAAGTGATACTTATCAACCCACATGTAGTTAATAATAAGACACAATCTGGGGTTACAGTTTTTCAGACACCAATAACTTTGACAAACCTTCATGAAATTTTATGAAACTTAGATTGAAGCTTTATATGATCTAAAGACAGTATCCGCAGCAAAATTTTGATTGATTGATCAGTGTTTACCACTTTCAGCACTATTTTGCTATTTCGTGGAATTTTTTTTGGTGGAGGAAGACAGAGTCCCTGGAGAGAACCACTGACCTTCATAAGGAAACTGACAATCCTAGTCAATTAAGATTAGAGTTGAGCCCACCTGCCACGTGCAGGATCCGAACTCAAAACCTCAATATTGACAGGCTAGTGATACAGTAGTTCAACTATTTAGACCACTTGGCCACCGAGGCCATAGCAAAATTTTGAATTTTCAATATTTTACAGAAAAAGGGACTAAATTGTTTTGCAGTTAACATTTAGATACAGTCTGGGTATACATTTTTTTGACATCAATTACTTTGTTAAAGCTTCATAGAATTTTATGATACTTTAGCAGAAGACTTTTTATGATTATTAAAAAATAGTGTTCAAATCCAAATTTTTAACATATATTTTTCATTTTACCATATTTTAGTGATAAGTGGACTTCTTTTCTTTGCAATTAAGATTTAAAAACAGTCTTGGATGACATTTTCTAGACATCAATAAATTTGTTAAACCATTATGGAATGTTTTCAAACTTGGGAATAAGTTTCTTCAAGACCAAAGAAATGTTATCTGAAAAAAAGGATTGATTTTTATACGCCCGTCAAATTTTTGACGGGACGTATTATGGTATACAAATGTCCGTCCGTCTGTCTGTCCGTCTGTCTGTCTGTCCGTCTGTCTGTCTGGCGTAAACATGTCGCACCGTAACTTGAGAATGACTTATCCAAATTTCATGAAACTTAACATAGTTGTTTCTTATGATGGTCAAACGATCTGTATACTTTTTGGTGAAAATAAGATTAAAACCTTTTGAGTTACGGGACTTAGTAACTAAAACAGGTGTGTGTTTTTTTCACATGTCGCGCCGTATCTCAAAAACAATTTATGATTATTGCTTAAAACTTTACACACTTCTTAGTTATATTAATCTTAAGATCTGTATACTTTTTGGTGATGATTCAAAATTTTATATTTTAGAGATATTGAGTATTTTGCTAAAAAAGGGGGAGGGGTTTTTCACATGTCGCGCCGTATCACAAAAACAGTTTATGATTATTGCTTAAAACTTTACACACTTCTTTAAAAATAGTTATATTAACTTTAAGATCTGTATACTTTTTGGTGATGATTCAAAATTTTATTTTTGAGTTATTGAGTATTTTGTAAAATAAGGGGGAGGGGTTTTTCACATGTCGCGCCGTATCTCAAAAACAATTTATGATTATTGCTTAAAATTTTACACACTTCTTAGTTATATTAATCTAAAGATCTGTATACTTTTTGGTTTTGATTCAAAATTTTATTTTTGAGATTGATTTTTTTTTTTTTTAAAGGGGGGGGTTTTCACATGTCGCGCCACATCTCAAAAACAATTTATGATTATTGCTTAAAATTTTACACACTTCTTAGTTATATTAATCTAAAGATCTGTATACTTTTTGGTTTTGATTCAAAATTTTATTTTTGAGATTGATTTTTTTTTTTTTTTAAAGGGGGGGGTTTTCACATGTCGCGCCACATCTCAAAAACAATTTATGATTATTGCTTAAAATTTTACACACTTCTTAGTTATATTAATCTAAAGATCTGTATACTTTTTGGTTTTGATTCAAAATTTTATTTTAGAGATATTGAGTTTTTTTGTAAAAAAAAAAAAAAGGGTTTTCGCATGTCACACCGTACAATGTATGTCAGAAACTATTTATGCTTATTGCATAAAAATTCACACACAAGACAACGGGCGTATCATGCGCTCATGGCGCAGCTGTTTATAAACTTTCCTACACTTTTACACTAACAACAGCATTTTTAGTGGAACCCTTTACAATGTTTTTAGTAAAAATTTTGAAAGTTATCAAAAGTCTGAAAAGAGTCAACTTAGCAGATTTTTCATTTAACTTTCATCCCTAGCTATGTAAATCAACAATGAAAAGCAGATCAGATAAAAGTTGTAACATGAGTTTTGTTGTTGATGAGAATCTGAGGACATTGAAACTTTATGAAAAATATCATCACTGAAGATACATTTTCTTTTGTTACATCTTCTGACATCAGACTCGGACTTCTCTTGAACTGAATTTTAATGTGCGTATTGTTATGTGTTTACTTTTCTACATTGGCTAGAGGTATAGGGGGTGGGTTGAGATCTCATAAACATGTTTAACCCCGCCACATTTTTGCGCCTGTCCCAAGATAGGAGCCTCTAGCCTTTGTTAGTCTTGTATTATTTTTAATTTTAGTTTCTTGTGTACAATTTGGAGTTTAGTATGGCGTTCATTATCACTGATCTAGTATATATATTTGTTTAGGGGCCAGCTGAAGGATGCCTCCGGGTGCGGGAATTTCTCGCTACATTGAAGACCTGTTGGTGACCTTCTGCTGTTGTCTGTTCTATGGTCGGGTTGTTGTCTCTTTGACACATTCCCCATTTCCATTCTCAATTTTAATGTATATATATTTCAAATAATATTTATGAATTGCTATTCCAATCAAATCTTGAAAACATGAGGCCAACTTCAGGCCTTACTTTCCATAAGAGCAAAAATATTTTTTTGTACTAACTACTTTTAAAGTGTAATAATTTGAGTTATATTGTACAAAGATTAGGACATGTTATTATACTTTACAGAGACTGGCAAGAAGAAAGATAAATGCAGATAAAGCAAAGGCAAAGAATGTACAAAGACAATCAAATATTGTCAGCATATTTGATGATGAAAGATGGAAATTTTTGGATTCAGAAGATTGAAATGATTGTTGTGTGAAGGAATTCTTTTTGGATGTGTAATGTTGAGTGACAAGTATCACATGAAAGTTATAATCAATTCTATAAACATTTTGGAAGAAGACTTTGACTACTGTTTTCTGTGAAATATCTTTCAAATGTACATTTCTAGTCTTTCATCATAAGTACTGATAATCATTCAGGGAATATGGGATTGTCAAAATGCCTTTCACTCAGTTAAAAATTGCTTTTACTGCAAACATTATTAGCAGAATTGTCCTCTGATATACATTGTCCACTAGTTATTTTTATCTATACAGTATTCCATGCATACATGCATAAGTCAATGTGCTCATGAATTTATTGTAAAAAAAACTAAGTTAATGGACTGGATTGTATACACATACACATACATGTACCTTTTGTAAGTGAGTGGGGCTACAACAAGTCTTCCTTTCCTCAATCATCATAATGGGGTAGTCTAATGGGGCAAGCTCTTATTTAGTGTTCTTTTCATTTTATACCATTTGGTGAGTCTGATGAGGAGAAAAATGTTGTTGAGTTGTGATTAATCATTTTATTGTAAATAAACATGGTTTTATTTGAATTTATAAAGAAATGTTTTAATGTTTTAACACTTTGTCTTATTTCTGTAGTATATGCTGCATTGATTTGCTTGTTTTCTTAAAACATGGATTTTCTTAAAAAACATGGCTCAATTATTAGACATAAAAAATTGAAACAGACTGTTAAATAAAAATAATAATAAGAAAACAAGATTTCTTTCAAATTGTCTTTGAAAACAACAAACCTGCAGTCATCATTAATCTAATTTAATGCTTTATTTTTTTAAATGAGGACTGTCAACAGCCGAATGGCTACTAGTGGTTCTCAACAAAATACAAAACAAATATATCATTTTTATATAGATTAGACCGTTGGTTTTTCCGTTTGAATGGTTTTACACTAGTAATTTTTTGGGGCCCTTTATAGCTTGCTGTTCGGTGTGAGCTAATGCTCCATGTTGAAGGCCGAACCTTGACCTATAATGGTTTACTTTTATAAATTGTAACTTGGATGGAGAGTTGTCTCATTGGCACTCATACCACATCTTCCTATATCTATGTACATATAGCAAACAGCACAACAATGATTCACACATGCACACAATACACTGCCAACCAATTAAAACTGAATTATTTATGAAATAGTTATACTCAAAAACAATGTAAAACATTTGCATAATATGCCAAAAAATTGGGAAAAAATCATCATTAGAGAGCTATAAAGGGTCAACTGACAATTTCAGTTCTTTTGATATATTTGAATATCTTGTCCTGCTGATAATTTTTGCTGTCTGCTGTTTTAATTTGGTAAAAAACTGAAAACAAGAGTGCATAAGATGAAATGTCTCGCCTGCTTTACTTATCATGATTGAACTTATATTGAGTCTGTAATATGATGGTTTTACTACAAATATCACATAAACTTAACATTATCAACGATTCATGTACAGGAGTTCAAGGTCAAATGAACCCTACCAGACAGACATGTACACCTTACAATCATACCATACACCAATAATAGTCAGCCTATTGCTTTTAGGTGTAATACCACCAAATCATAGTACGTCACATCCGGTTGCATACGAAAATAGGTCGAAAAAAAATATTCCCTTGAATTTGACAGTTGTAGGTAAATGATCCTACATTTCATTGCAGTAAAACATTTCTGGGTCATAAACATATATCTTGGGTATTTCAAAGCACCATTATTTTTTTATTTGGTGTTTCTATAGAATATTTTGGAAACTTGAGGTTACATGGTTACTAAAGCTTGTACACAGGTTAAAAAAGGGGGAAAATTTGATTGGTTAACTTCCAGTGATGGTTATTTTCTTATATGCAATGAATTGTTATGTGAATTTTTTTCTATAGTACTGGACAGGATAAAACTTTATTCATGCCAAGTATTTCTATATTTGAAACAAAGATAAATTCTGCACAATTTTTTGAAAAGTGCAAATTTAACAAAGACTAATAGGGGAAAATCAATGGTGGTATTACACCTAATATGGGAAGCTGAACATGCACCTTTGACCTTGTGAGTACTTTCATGTGTTAAAATTTCTGGCTATTTAAGTGAAATATTACTAATAATGAAATATTCTGAGTGGATTGAGTCTCCAAAACACATTTAATGAGAAAATTTCCTTGAAATAGGACTTTACCATGAATATTAGTTGACAGAATAAGCCATACTTAGAGTTTTGGGGAGCTTTTTCTCCTTTTTTCTTATATTCTGCTATACTAGAAAATTTTTCCTAAGAAATACTTTAATAAATATATAGTTTTAAGTAAATGAAATTATTTTAAAGCAGTAACAACAAATTATTCACCAAAAGAGAAGCTTTTTATGTCCCTCCCTGGAACGCGGTGTAAATTTAAGTTTTACGTAAGGACTTATTGAAACCTCCTTGGAGACAGTAAACTTTTATACGGATAGTTCATTCAGCTTGAATACTTCAAGTAATCATTTATTATAACATTTCTATCATAAATGAGTGAAAGTTACCCCAAAATTTTTATTTATTGGCCTAAAAAGTAGAAATTTTGAGGAAATGAGAGGTATAAAAGGACCAAAAGAGATCTTATTAGGAAGACAAAGAGGTCCATTAGTAGTATTTATCATCCTAAAGTCATCTTTTGTATCATATTCAACTGTTTGTAGGCAGATGAGATAGATATTTGATCATTTATTGGTCCACACTATATTCTATCATGATGCGGCTTGGTTTGGATTTTTCGAAGAAATTTAGCTCGAATCGCTGTAGATGTCGTCTTACATTATACTAGATTTTTCTCAAACTATTGAACTGATTATGTCAAAACTTGACAGGAATGCTTGAAATGACCAGTATTACAAAGAAAAAAAGTCACATTCAGTTTATTTAACAAAAAAGTCTTCTTTAGGTGTAATACCACCACATCATAGTACGTCACATCCGGTTGCATACGAAAATAGGTCGAAAAAAAATATTCCCTTGAATTTGACAGTTGTAGGTAATTGATCCTACATTTCATTGCAGTAAAACATTTCTGGGTCATAAACATATATCTTGGGTATTTCAAAGCACCATTATTTTTTTATTTGGGATTTCTATAGAATATTTTGGAAACTTGAGGTTACATGGTTACTAAAGCTTGTACACAGGTTAAAAAAGGGGGAAAATTTGATTGGTTAACTTCCAGTGATGGTTATTTTCTTATATGCAATGAATTGTTATGTGAATTTTTTTCTATAGTACTGGACAGGATAAAATAAAACTTTACTCATGCCAAGTATTTCTATATTTGAAACAAAGATAAATTCTGCACAATTTTTTGAAAAGTGCAAATTTAACAAAGACTAATAGGGGAAAATCAATGGTGGTATTACACCTTATAGCATCTGAGAAACCAACTTAATTACGAAAACTGAACATCGACTAATGAACCATAAAAATGAGGTCAAGGTAATATATAAACCCTGCCAGACAGACATGTTCACTATGTAATCATTCCATACACTAAATATAGTTGATCTATTGCTTATAGTATCTGAGTAACAGACATAGTTCTGAAAACTATACATTGACCTATGAACCAAAAAAATGGTGGGTTCAAGGTCAGATGAACCCTGCCAGACAAACATGTATCCCTTACAGTTATTTGTTACAAATATTTCTTAAGTTTTTATGCCCCTCGCTGTATCCGAGGGTGCATTAAGTTTTACCCTTGTCGGTCTGTATGTACGTCCCAAAATTGGTTTCCGTTCTCTAACTTTAGTTTGCCTCTACCAAATATTATGAAACTTATACACAATGCTTATTCCCACAAGAAACAGATCAAGCTTGAATTTTGGTGGTGTTACTTATACCATTCTAGAGTTATGCCCTTTACAAATTGAAAAATTGCTGAATTTTTCGTTTCCGTTCCCTTACTTAAGTTTGCCTCATCCAAATGTCATGACACTTATACACAATGCTTATTACCACAAAACACAGATCAAGTATGAATTTTGGTGGTGTCACTTTTACCATTCTATAGTTATGCCCCTTTACAAATTGAAAAATTGCTGAATTTTTCGTTTCCGTTCTCTAACTAAAGTTTTCCTCAACCTAATGTTATGAAACTTATTCACAATGCTTATTACCACAAAACTTAGATCAAGATGAATTTGGGTAGCATCACTTTTACCTTCTTGAGTTATGTCCCTTTATAACGTTGTATGCAAGTGGGGGCATCATCTGTGTCCCATGGACACATTCCCTATTTATTTGTTTATGAATTTATAAAACATTAAGAAACTAAGGTTCCAACTCCCTCAGGAAAAGTTGAACTTGCATAGATTTGGTTATTAGTTATAGGTCACTTTTTTGTAACATAGCTCTTCACTTGTTTCAGTACTTATACATCCTTGGCTTTCAAATATTTGGCTCTGAGTGTTCCTAATAAAGGTTAATCCAGAAAAAGGCTTCCAGAAAAAGGCTTCCGATGCATAAAATTTACAGAGTATTATTTATATTTTTTATAGCACTGATTCAATACCACTGTTGGTGGACTATCAGTCCCTGAGGGTTCACCAGCTCAGTAGTCTGTTCATAGGTACTGACATGACTTATATAGAAGTGTTTTTTTTTTTTCTTGTACAGGTGAAATATTTTGGAGGCAGAGTTATATCCCTTAGACATTCAGTTATTTTCTACTTATATTTAAAGGAAAAAGTCATATTTTCTTCTTTTCTTAAATAGCTCTTGATTACATTGCTGTAAATAAGTGTTTTATATTGTCTGTCATTAATAATTGTCTTTACCATTCATCAATGTATAATTTCATTGACAATGAAATTTTATTTGTCAGTTATCTTCAAAACACTGCTCATTAACAAGCCTCCTGGACAGTCACTTAGCATCTGTGCTCCATAGATTTCTTTGTTGAGTTCTTGAGATAAAGGGTTGAACTCTCATTAAAGAAATCAGGGGCGGATCCAGGATTTTGGAAAGGGGGGGCGTAGTATTAAAATTCGCCGAGCGGAGCGAGACGAAAAATTTTTTTGACCTTTTTTTGGCTAAAAAACATAAAATAAGTGGAAAATGCATTTTATAGTTCAAGTGTAGGGGTTTGACATTTTTGGTGCCGTATTCTCTCCATTAATTGTCTATTATAAAATGATTGGATGGATCCAAAGCTATGTACTAATTAATATATTTGATGTGGGATTTGTCAGTAAAAATGGACATGGAAAATTCTCGTTTGTTGTATGGTTAGTTAGCATAACCTCACAGATTTCTTGTTGTAAACAGAGACATATATACACATATATATATATATGTGTATATATGTCTCTGTTGTAAACAAGATATACGGCTATTCAATGAAATTTCATATACGACCGACACGAAGAAAGACAAACAAGCAATTTTTATCCAAATGTTTGGTTGAAATGTTTGAACCAACAAGGGAAGTGAGGGGTTCCAAATCAACCAAAGGCTACGAATGAGTTGGAAATGACAATGAAGTTGTGAATGACGGTCGACACATGGAGACATATAGGCCACACCCAGCAGGCAGGTTGCAGTCGGGCCTTGAAAAAA